GCAGGTCCTCATGAGGTAGGAGGTGCTTGAAAAGGGTCAGGGCAGAGAAGCAGAGACTTGAGACAGCTGGAGGTTATTCCTAGGAGACAGGAAAGGGAAGGCTGATGCACACAGCTTTGAGAAGGGGGCGGAAAGGCAGAGGGGATCTTCCATTATCATTAGGGACAAGAAGAGGGCTGGGAGAGAAGGAGGCAGAGGAAGAGAGAGATCAGGGTCTTGGGCAGCTGGGTGCTGAGGAACAAGAGAGGGACAGCCAGGGTCTAAGGGATGTGAATGCAGGGAGGGCTGGTCAGTGGAAAGGAGAGGGAAGTTAAGAGCCAGGGGAGCCGTGGATCAGCTCCATTGACTATCCCTGCTAACATCCCAGTAGTTCACTGCACCTATTTTAGATGCTGTGGTTCATTACATATATTTTAAGCTAGGATTTGTCCCCGATGTGCTGCCTTCTGGCCTGCTTTCACTTCAATTAAGACACTTTGCTATGTTAATTAGGGAAAAAATATTGCCCTCTGGTCCCCTCTTGCATGGCCTTCCCCAGACCTTTCCACCTCTGCCCAGCGCTGCAAACCACCCACAACCCTTGCTCTGATGGGAAGCCTGGAGCTTGCCAGCATAGTCGCGAAGTGTCTGTAGCTGGCCTGAGACAGGATGGGTCCCAGCTTGCTGGCTCTCCTGGGCAGGCTTCAAATAAGAAGCCTCAATTGGATTTTAATGCTGCCCTTTTCTGGGGATGAACGCACCATCTGCAGCAGCGTCCCCACAGGCATGGGTGGTGTCATACAGCACCCCACTGCATCCGGAGTGGTGAATCTGATCTGACCCGTTAATTTCTGTGTGGGTTGCAGTCAATTTCAATGTGTCAGAGCAAAGGGCATCTAAAGTGTCTCAATAAAAGACAAGTATCCTTGTTCTTCTCTGCACTAAGCACTGCTTGCTGTCTTGGTTCCTGGAGCAAATTTTAATCTCATTTAAATTTAAAACAAAACAAGTCCCGCTCACTTCCTCTGCTTTGCATTTTTTCCATATCTAGTAGGGGATTTTTTTTCTTTATTACTCATATTTATGACTTTACTTTCCTTTTCTGACTTTTATTTTCATCCTCTCATTAACCAGCTCTCTCCACATGTTTAAACCCATCACAGATATCAGAGAGGTTACTCTGGGCACGAAGAGGTTGCCACACACTGAAAATTCGTTATGCACTGTAGCGGGGTGGTCACCCGCTCCTGCCCTGAAAGGGCTTGAAGCCAGCCCTGGGAGAGGGCTGGGGCTGCAAGCTAAAGGCTCCCTGATTGTGGAAGCAGCCGCAGCTGGGTCACGCCCCAATCAGACTGCAGCTGGCCCTATAAAAGCCAGTGAAGCCAGGCGCTGAGAGGACTCTAGCTCTTGAGGGAGAAGGGCCTGGCTGCCTGGGAGCTGAGAAAGAGTACCTAAAGTGGAGCAGGGCTGGGGGAAGGCTAGAGGAGCTGGGGGAGCTCCAGCCTGGAAACCCCCCAGGCTGCAGGCCTTGTTAAAGGCTGGAAAGGATACTGGGGTTGCAGAGGGGCAGCCCAAGGGTAGGCAGAGGCAGCAGGTGCAAACCCCCTTTGCCGGTGATGAGTGGCATTTACACTGCAGTCTGCCCCAATGAATGGGGCTAGATCGAGACTGGCAGTAGCCATAGTCTGAGGTGGGGATAGAGGGTGGGGGTTCCCTGGGGAGGAGAGACACAGATCTGTGGGGGTACTGCCAGGGGGCAGCACCCTGGCCTGAAAGGGGCACCGGGGTCCAGGAGGGACTTGGGCCCAGTGGCAAGCGGAACACTGGCCTGCAGAGGGCGTTCTGGAGGCTGGAAACGCTAATTCCCTGGACGACCAGCAGGAGGCACCGCAGGGGTGAGTCCCACCCTGTGACATGCACAAATACAGAGAGAAAAGTAAATGAGGATGGGCACTGCATACTGTGCACAGAATCAATGGCTCCGTCCTGCACGTTACTGAGCCCCTTTAACTCCAACTGAAGTCCAGGAGAGTTCAGGGCACACCTTGCAGAACATGCACAAAATCCCACAGGATCAAATCCTTATTGAACTGGCAGTTTGAGGACCAGAGCTCGGTGCCAAATGCTCTATTAGCAGAATCACAATTGAATTAAATTAATTTCACCTCCCTGCCTATAACCCTTAACTCAGTCTCTGGACATAGCCTTGATTTTCAGAAACCCACCTGATCTTTCCTACCAAAAAACAAACCTAACCTTTTTGCAAACTATTTTTACTTCTAGCTCACAATTACTTTAACCTCAATGGCTAATAAATGCTTAAAGGTCAAACACCGTTCCTCAGACCAAGGCTCTTTACCCCAAGGGAGTAAAATCCTCATTTCCAAAGATCTCATTGGTAAGGGGGATCCAGATTTAAAACAATAATTGTATTATTTGTAAATGATAGCTGGTGTGGGGGAAAGGAAGAAAACAAATTGGTTTGGTATTTGGAAAGAGCATCTTACCAGGTAGTTTGAGATTTGCACTTGCTGTTCAAAAGATTAATGGGACTTAGGGACACACAGGGGGCTTTCCACAATTGCACCTGAGCCTGAAAATCCAGTAGCTTTTGCACCCTGCAGAAGCAGTTCACAACTTCCCACACTATTTCACTCTGAAAGCACCTTTCAAGGAGGGGAGTTGACAGATGGAGTCACTGTCATTTGAAAAGGTAATTAGCTCCAAATTAAATGTAAACCCAGTTCCTAAAATTAAAATCCTATTAGATGCTCCACCAAAGAGACACACCAAATTGTAAAAAAATGTGGTCAAGATTGTGCAAGTAGGAGGCAAGAGCTGATCATTAAATGATTCCCCAGAGACATTGGTGGGCCCCCAGCAGTTTGTCCAGTCATTCAAGAGGGAAATAAACCTAGAGCTCACTCCTATTTCTGTAAACTATGTGCACATGCGATACAAGGGAGCAGGGTACGTGCTTTGCAAAATAAACATTGCAGAAGATGCTATCTTGGATGCATTTTGCTTCCCCCTAGAGGAAGGGAAAGAGGAGAACAAGTCGGCAAAACCTAGCATGAAACGGAGGGGGGAGTAGACAAACCAGTGAAACAGAAAGAGGAAGATAGGAGATCAGTAAAAGAATGAAACCAGGTAAACACCAGGGGGCCAGTGAGATGCTGGCAGGAACAGAAAGTGTGGGCATCATGAGGCCAGTGGGAGACTATGGGTCTCTCTCTAGCAGTGAAGGGTAGAGATGGAGTGCAGCCCTGAGAAGGCCTATAAGAGACTGGGTGTGAGAATTAGGGCGAGCCAGTGGGAGCATGTATGTGTAGAAGGGATTGGAGCATGGAAGAGTGAAGATGAGAGTGAGATAATGAGATACAGAGAAGGGTGGGAGCAGGGGGGACTGTATCAGAGCAGGAGGGGAAGGGCTGTATTCATGTGCCCAGATCTGGAGAGAGAAAAAAAAACCCCACCAAAGTGAGAAGGACATTTTGGAGGATGTCTATGTCTCTCCTGCAGCAAAGGGAGAGAGAAGAGGGGTTGTATGAGAAAGAGAGCAGAGGGGATGAGAGGGAATATTTGTTGCTCAATGTCAGGACTTCTTGTTCCCATTTTCGCTTAAAGAGATTCCCTCAAATGCTGCTGAATGAATCTCCTGGAAGAAAGATGTGACCCTTGCAGAAAACAAACAGGAGGGCTGCTGGCAAGGGAGACTGGGCATGAGAGATGGGCCCCTGCCAGAAGGAGAGGGGCAGTGACAGACAGAGAAGGGGATGGGGGGATGTGAGCCAGCAAGAGACGGCTGCAGGCAAGAGGGATGAAGGTGGGCTACAGGAGAAAAGGAAAGAGAATGGATACAAATCCAGAAAGAGAGGGAAAGGGATGCAAGAGAGGCAGCCAGGGGAGGATGGAATGCATTGCACGGGGCGGAGGGGCTGGACGGGGGAGTCTCCCTGAGGAGACAGGAATGGAATGGGGGGGGATGAGAAAACCAGGGATGAAAGCGAGAGGAAGGACAGACCGCAGGAGCGAGCCGAGCGGAGGGGTGTGAGGGAATGCACGGGAGCAGGAAGGAAGGAGGGATGAGCGAGGGAGCGGAGACTGGCTCGGGGGTGGGCAGGCAGAGATGGAGGAGAGGATGAGACGCCCCCAGAGGAGTCCGCCGGGAGCCGGGAGAGTTTGAGAAGGTAAACAACAGCCATGCCCCCCCTACAGTCCTGTCCCCAACGTGCAGCCGGACTGCCGCGGCCGCTGCCTGTACATTTCCATTCCCAAACCTCGCCGTGCCCCCAGCAGCGTGCGTCTCTCGCTCGCTGGCCCTCCCCCCCCACCACCCGCTACAGCAGGGCTGCAAACCCGGAGCGCCCAGGGAGGCCAGCCCCGGGCTCCGCCACCCCCCGCCAGCGGGGCGAACGCTGCCCGCCTCTCCGCTCCCCGGTGCAGTGTTTGGGTCCGTGCACGATTTGGCAGGGACCTGGCAGCCCCAGCACGTGAGAGGAGCGGATCATGTGCACCAGCTCCAAGAATTGCAAGGCTCCAAAACGTGCTGCGTATCAACAAAATGAAACTCGTGTCTCTCCCCTTGCTGGGCTGCCCTCGCTGCCTCCTGTGGCACATTTCACACACCCCTCCCGACCCAAACCATCCGGATTGGACCCTGATGCCTGGCTGCTTTGCCCGTTGCAAAAATAAACGGTGCTGTTTCCCCCTCCCCAACCCAGAGGCGGCTTGGGGTGAGCTCTGCCGCAGTCATTAATTTGGAAAATAAAAAAACCCGTCTGCGCCGACCCTTTAAAAGTTCTTGTTTACATTCCTGCTGCTTCCCGTTTACTCTTTAAAACATGAGTGACCAACATGCGCAATCGATCTGGGTAAAATACTGCACATTTCCCCCCTTCCTTCCTAGCAGTCAGCCCAGCGAAATGGAAAAAGGGGGGGGGGGAAAGCCAGAGAGATGCAAAATAAAGATCAGCTGCAAATTAAAGCAATCCAAAATGCAATCCTCCTTCATCCTTTACCTTTGCCGGGAGAGTGTCCTCAAAGAGTTGAGACTGTCCCTCAGGTTACAAAAGAGGAGTGTGGAGAGGGGGCGGGGGGATGGTCCAGCGATTGAAACGATCAGGAAAGCCCCTTTGCACGATCAATCTGGTATCATTGCGAAGAGGGGGGGAAATAACCCCCCTGCTGGATCCGAAGATGACACCCTCCTCTTAGGAGTGGATACAAAGTAACTCCATGGATGCGAACCCAAAAGAATTGCTTCCAGCCGAGATGGCCGCTCTGTGCACGATCCAGCCCTATATGCGTGTTTCTGTTTCTTTTTTAACCCAGACTTCCTTATGATCTCTTTGCAACAACGACCAATTCTTCCGTTGACCTTTTTATTTGGGGAGGGGGGGCAGGTGGGAGGACCGGAGAAGTGACTTTTTAAATGATTAGTCTGATCAAGAATGATTTTCACTTCCCCCCAAATCTTTCTTCAATTTCTTTTTTTCTTGTTTGTTGTTTCTTCCTGGGCAGCAGCAGGTCCAGGTGCAGCAGACATAGGTCCCATCTCTGGTTGTGTTTGTGCATGTGTTGTCTTGTTCCCCCCCGCCGCCCCCCCCTTTGCTGTTCACCTCCCCCCGATGCGCTGGGTCCCCATCTCTCTTTTGCTCTGGGTAGAGGCAAGCGGCGGGGTCGGGTTGCTCACACACACTGTACAAGTCTGATCAGGTCGCTTTCGCAATGATCCCCAGCCGCGTACACGCACACACACACACACATACACACACCACAACACCCTCAGCAGCAGCCGTGGAACGCACACACTTCTTTACCTCCTCTCCCCCCTCTGCTTCACTCCCCCTCTCTTCTCCGAGCTATGGGCACGGGCGAACGCTGGGCTGCTGCTGCAACCTTAACAAATAAGCTTATACTTAAAAAAAATCTTTTGGCGCCATATTAATGACGTACTTAAAATTTGCCATGTCTCCTGCGTCAAAAAGACGTTTCTTGCAAATAACAGATTCTGGGCAAGGCGGAAAGAGGGACTCGAAAAATCCTGCAGGAGACCCTCGTGAGGGGCAAAAAGGGGCTTGCATTGCCCAGAAGTGCCTGAAAGTGCCAGCTGGGTGGGGGTGGGGGAGGGCGGTAAGATCAGGATAAAAATGCAATCGAAGGCTATTCCTCCAGACAAACAAACTTCGTTGGGCAGCTGGGAGGGTGACGATGAGGGTATTGGAAATCCCACCGCTTTAGGAAACGGGATTTTTCCCCCTTGTTATTATTTTGATCACTTCTGGAGAAGGCTGCGGGGGAGGGGCCGTTACATGCTGGATTTGTTTTTTTTTTAGCAGTCGCAACAGGGGGAAGGGGTTAAAAAGAAAACACTCTATTCAGATGCTGTCCTAGGAGCTATCCGGTGTGGTTTCTTAGGGCTGTTTCTCCCGCACACCCACATCCTCCGCCCCCCAGCCGCAAAAATATAAAGGGTTAAAAACACAACAAAACTTTGCACAGTTTTCCAAGAAAGGAGGGCAGACAGCTCTCCAGTCTTGCTCTCAGTGTGACCTTGTCATGCACAAAAAATGCACTTTAATCGGTTACTGATTTCTCGAAGGGTTTGTTGCTTGGTATTGCTTTTGCTCTGCCTTTCTATTTTCTGCGGTGGTGGCAGCAGCAGGAGCTTGATCCAGTATCTTGCTGGCCACACCCACCGCTGGCTGCTTGAACTAGACACCTACTCTGTGGGAAGAACAGTTATTTCTATGCAGTGAGGGATCTTGGGTGGAGGGGAGGAAGTGGGGGGAGGAGGTGCCCAACCTTCCTAAACTGTCTGGTTGTTTAAGGCAGTTTATGCTGATTTTTCCCCTCTAATGGAGACCTTTCTTCAAAATATACACTGCAGGTTGGTTCGGCTTTTCATATACAGTGGCTGCTCCCTCATTATTTCATCTTGTCTGTAATTGCTCATAGATCCTGTCAAATAGTTTAGAGATGCTTTACAATTCCAAAAGGGAAGGATGAGCATTCAAATTAAGGTATTTTTTGAAAAACTGCTATTAAAATATGGAGCTGATACTTTTAAACTAAAAGTTTCACTAACTGAATTAGATTTACTAGGCTATAAAATGTACCTTACCCTTCAAATATGTTAAATATAAATAAATAAATATAAATATAAATTAATGGAGATATCCCATCTCCTAGAACTGGAAGGGACCTTGAAAGGTCATCGAGTCCAGCCCCCTGCCTTCACTAGCAGGACCAAGTACTGATTTTGCCCCAGATCCCTAAGTGGCCCCCTCAAAGATTGAACTCACAACCCTGGGTTTAGCAGGCCAATGCTCAAACCACTGAGCTATCCCTCCCCCCTGTAGTGTTCTACAGGAACAGTCAAAAACCACTACAGTAACTCTGTTGTAAGCTGCAGCGCGTCATTGTAATTCTGCAGCACCATTGCTGCAGAATACTGTAGTATATTTAACAAAAGAGTCCACTTTTCCCTTTCAAAAATAATCTGTTAGGAAGAGTTCTGTTGAATTTATTAGACCTAAAACTGCCTATTAGTTAGTGATTGGTAACTTCATCAATAATTTGATGTATATAGTTACACACTGGGCTGGCAACATCTCCTATAATAAAGGTTCCCATTATAAGACCCTGTTTTCAGTTTATAATTTTGTCAAACTGTAACCATTTGCAGTGCAATTCTCCATGCTGAGTGTCTGCTTTATTTCTATTGTTTTGTTCAGCCAATACAGTTCAGCCACATCCAAGAACAAAGTTAGGGAAAAATACACTGTTTTGCCCATATTAAAAATATCTTGAGACCTTTTATTTGAATGCCCCCATTCTTTGGCGCAGGAACCTGAAATCTGGTGGGGGCAGGGATAGCCTTTGTGTCTAGGATGTGCCTTTTACCATCTCTGTGAAAATCCACCCACATTTGGCCATATTATAAACCTTGTAAAATTGCAGTTTGCACATGCTCAGTAGAGACTTCTTCGATTTTAACAGCTAAAGTCTCCTAAGATTCTATCCTCACTGAGCATGCTCCACGCCCTCACAGCTCCGAGTGCTGCTGACCAGACCAATCATGTGGCCAAGCCACAGAGAGACTGAGCATGGTCCAGCCTAAGGCAATATAGTGGCTCAGGAGAGCTTTCTTTGTCATGACTGTTTCCAGCTACTCCAGGCTGGAGTTGAGCCAGACATTGGAACTAGGAGCAGGGAGCTGTCTCCCCTGTGTTTTCAACAACCCCCTCCTGCTCGCACCCAAGGCATTGTAGAGGAAGAAGTAATCTGATTCAAATGCACAGGAGACAAAAGCCAGAACAGATAGAAGGAAAAGGAGTAACTCAAACAAGGAGTCCGGTGAGACTGGAACTGAAGTTTGCTTGTGCAACCTCAGTTTGCTCCCCTTGTGTGTATGCATTTGATACAGTCTATAATTACATGATAACATACTATTTTTTCCCACAACCCCTGCCTCATTCAGTGCACAGGATGCACCTGCTCTGGGGATGGAGCAGGGCTGTGCAGTGAAGAAGGCTGTTTTCTGTAGGACCCCTGCTTCATTTGTAGCAGGAGTTGGAAAGTATGTAGTGAATGAGGCAGGGAATTGTAGGAAGAGAAAGGAGGGATCTCGTCGTTAAGGAAATTGAATGCCACTCTGGAGAACTGAATTCAATCCCTGCTTCTGCCACGGAGTTCCTGGGTGATGTTAAGCAAGTCACTTAAACCAAACTTTTCACAGGTAGTACCTGACTGTGTGTTTTTCCTTTTCTAGGTGCCAAACTTGAGAACCTGGAAGAGGATTTGCAGAAGTGGTGATCACTCAGAGTTGTCAATGGAAGCTTTCCTTTGAACATATAAAGTGCCATATAATGCTAAGTGTTCTGTGCTAAGTGCCTAGGCATCTCAAATTGGGCACCCAAAATTAGTGGATACATAGATTCATAGATTCTAGGACTGGAAGAGACCTCGAGAGGTCATCGAGTCCAGTCCCCTGCCCTCATGGCAGGACCAAATACTGTCTAGACCATCCCTGATAGACATTTATCTAACCTACTCTTAAATATCTCCAGAGATGGAGATTCCACAACCTCCCTAGGCAGTTTATTCCAGTGTTTAACCACCCTGACAGTTAGAAACTTTTTCCTAATGTCCAACCTAAACCTCCCTTGCTGCAGTTTAAGCCCATTGCTTCTTGTTCTATCCTTAGAGGCTAAGGTGAACAAGTTTTCTCCCTCCTCCTTATGACACCCTTTTAGATACCTTTTACCTTAATTGCCTCCGCTCCCCATCCGTACAATGGGGATATACTACCCCCTCACCGCACAGGGGGTCTTACATTAATTAATGTTTGTGAAGCACTTGGATACTAAAGTGATGAGTGCCATAGAAAAGCCCATGAGGAAATTAATAATTCTGTTTTCAGAGCAGGATTTGAATAGTGTGCCGTATATAAGGCCTCAAGCTACACAATATACAATGAGGATAAAAAAATATCGAAAAGCTGCTTATTAATTGATCATTGTCTATCCTGTGCACTGAATATGTGACTATGTAATTAAAACCTGTATCATAATCTGTATCATAGTGCATATATCAAAAAGAGTTCAGGAGAATTAGCAGTTTTTTTAGAGAGACATTATTAAGGGCACAAAAGCAACCTATCTCAGTGCATAGGAAAGATAAGAAGTATGATAAGAGATCACCCTAACTTAACCAGGAGATCCTCAAGGATCTGGAACTCAAAAAAGAGTCATACCAAAGGTGGAAATGAAGTCAAATTACGAAGGATGAATATAAAAAAAACAACACAAGCATGTAATGACAACTTTAAAAAGGCCAAGGCACAAAATGAGATTAAACTAGCTGGATACCTAAAGCCTAACAAACATGAGAGGCACGAGGAAAACCAAGGACAAGGTAGGCCCATTACTCAGTGAGGAGGGAAAGACAATAAACAGAAAATGCAGCAATGGCTGAAGTGTTAAATGCCTTTTTTGTTTCAGTTTCACAGAAAAAGCAGTGATTGGACAACTAACATAGTGAACATCAGTGTAAATGAGGTAAGAGCTGAGGGTAAAAATGGAAAACAAGTTAAGAATTACTTAGACAAGTTAGATGTCTTCAAGTCGGCAGGGCCTGATGAAATACATTCTAGAATACTTAAGGAACTGGCTAAAGAGACCTCTGAGCCATTTGTGATTATCCTTGAGAACTTGTGGAGGACAGGAGAGATCCCAGAGGACCAAAAAAGGGCAAATATATTACCTATCTATAAAAAGGGGAATAAGGACAACCTGGGAATTACAGACCAGTCAGCTTATTTGCAATACCCAGAAAGATGATGGAGCAAGTAATCAAACAATCCATTGCAAGCCCCTAGAAGAAAATAAGGTGGTAAATAACAGTCCATATGGGCTTGTCAAGAACATCTGTCAAATCAACCTAATATCCTCCTTTGACAGTTAACAAAACTTGTGGATGGGGGGAAGCAGTAGATGTGATATATCTTGACTTTAATAAGGTTTTTGTTACTGTCTCACA